GCACCAGCCATCCACACGGCTAAGAACAGAAATTTGTGCCTTTGCTTTCCAAGCGGGATGAGCATGTCTACCTTCTTAAGGCGCTCTGAATATGCCACCAACGTGCTGAAGACACGAAAAAGGCAAAAAGCTACACAAACTTTTGGTACTGTGGTGCATTTGAGATGCACTTTAAACTTCTGATGAAGTGAGTTGTTAAAATATCAGGTCGTCGAGTTCTTCAGTGGAATTATTTTTTAAATTACTATTGTAAACTTAATTTCGAATAGCTTCACCTCTTATCTCCTAAGTAACGGAGTGTAATTGAGGAATTATTGGGATGGGCTATAAAACGCAAGAAAAATAGGAACCAGGTAAATCATTTTATATTTGTTTCATTAAAGAGTCACAACTGCAAGTGGCTGGTGATGGTTTCCAGGATTCATTTAAAAAGCCTCACTTAAATTTGCATTCAACTTCAGACTACTGTGCCAACCTATCGCTCCAAACCCTTAAAAGTCGATGAAACTTCAAACTCAACAAAGAAATGTGTATTTCTACTAATATTTCACCTATTGTACAAAAAATCAAAGTTCAAAATCAGCATATTCTTTGCTAAAATTTTTGTAAATAGCAACCTCTTAAGACATTTGTTTTTTGCATACGCAAATGGTCCAAACATCTGTTCCATCAAGACACCGAATTCATTAATCCTCTGAATTGGATACTCCTTTGCAACTCCAAATCTTACACACCGTCATTGCTGTTAAATCCAGGAGATGTTTGGAGATGAATCTATAAATGCTGCGCAATTGCAATCATGTCGAGGTTAACGTGGTAACTAGTACTTTGCACTATCTTCCTGGATAACAAATGATAAAGCCTTACCGTCTAGAACAACTACACTGATGCGCTCGGACATTCTCGAATAAAGAAATGACTTGACTCATTTCAGTGGAACTGGAGGCAAAGATACAGGACTGAATGAATGCTTTGCACTAAGCCACCCGCTTTAATCCCCTTTTTGCGTATATGGCGGCAGCATTGCAGCGTTCCAAGACTTCCTTAAGTGTAGAGGTGGTGAAGGACCTGCAGGCATGACTCAGAGGCCAAACCACCCAAAGGGCAGGCGAACAAACCAAAGAGGTAGGAATATAAGTAAATTGCTAGGGTAGTGATTAACAACAAATAATGGAAACGATTGATACAACCTACACTACTATTGATTACAGTCAAATTTGAAAACCTAAAACGCAACTCCACCGTTGTTATCATTTGAATGGACCCGAGCAACCCTTTTGCAAAGTCGGTTTGTGGTGAGACTGTTCATCCAACGAATTTGAGTTCACGGGCTACCGGTTTGAGAAGCACACCTTTGCAAAGAGAGGTCTTTGGGGTGAGAGGAGCTGTGAGACAGTTGGTATAGCCTTAACAATAACGCCCAAGCATTAAACCATAGTAACAAAAATGGTTAAGCAATAAGTGATAAAGGTGGGGGGAAGTTTAAGGGAGGACTTGTATGCAGTTAATCAAGCGCAATCAATTGTCGTTGCCTCGATCCCGTGAAAAGCAAATGTTATATTTGAAGAGGTAATATCCACTCAAATGTCCACCGTCATTGTGGCATAATGCACTCCACTTTTACCAAAGTGGAAAAAGAAGTTGACCAGGAAGCACAATTGGATTGTGGAGAATTCCAACACAAAGGCCTTTGTAAATGGCCTCATGCAGCGCGAATCAAAGTAGCTACGCAAACAAAGTGTATAGCATAGATTGCCCTTTTGTGAGTGCTACTGTTATTTTGGGTTTGGTGGTAGAAGTTTGGCGAAATGGTTTTGAAGGGAGCAATAAAATCGGTGGCAATGGAAGTAGTCGAACACATTTTTGTTTTGATGAACGGGCTTTTTACGTTCGTTCACGCATCATTCTATGGCAATAAAAATTGCTATCTGTAACAAATTAAAGTGAAACTACGTTAGATACGAAGCGCAGACAAATCGCGTAAACTTTTGCAAATTCTAAAAATATAAAGCAATTTAATGCGACGCAATGGACTGATCTCTTCCCATGCTAATCAAAAAGCAGGTCATCAACGTAATAAAATAGCGCATTTGCAGCCTCGTGATCGAAAATAGTCAATAAAGTCAGTTTCTTTTCTGTGACTTCGTCCTCACTCTGATCATCTTCATTTGGGCATTACTGAGAATTTCATGTGTTCTTTCAGTTTGCAGTCTGTATTTTGTGGTTGAAATGAAAAGTTATCACATTTTACGAAGCCTTTGGTTAGTTGTCTGTCATTATTATTGTTGTTTTCGAGGTTCCATCGTTGAAGGTGGAAGGAAGGTGTATGCTCTAGCATTGTTTCACCAGCGTTAATTAAGGCCGGAAGGCTGGCACGACTGACGTGAGGTATTTGTGGGTGGTTTCAGCAATGACATTACCTTTTAATTATTAAGGTCTACGTCGTGGAATCTGGGAGCTTATACCGAGGAGAGGCAAATTATTGCTATTAATATCTCGAAGACTATTCATCTCGCATTAACTAAGTTCAATCGGCCAATTCATTTTCAAATTTTCCAGCAAATTCTCACAAATGTAGTTTAAATCGGTCATATTAATTGTTTAAGCAGAAGAATGACTGTAAAAGCGAAACTGCATGCTTGCTAATGTTTCTTTTCAAATTATTTATGGCAATTCCGCCATGTCAGTGAGTACAACGACGCAGTCACGTTTCTTTCAAAAACTAGAGTACCTGCAGTAAGTCTGAATTCGAAGGATCCTCTAAACTATACATGTAGACGTATTCATCCCTTTCTTTGGTTACTACAAAAAGGCAAATATATTTGCTTCATTGAAGCAGGCATGAAGAGGGAGCATATGGCGTAGCCCAAGCCCTTATTCATGGTGTGCCGACGTCAAGTTGGAAACGTTAATAGCGTCTCACCGACTGGAAACGGTTAAGTGAATTCAATTCCACCGTTGAGTCACAACAACAGACAATATGGACGATGCCATTTTTCTAGGAAATGTGAGCAACCGATTAGAAATGAGGACGAGCATGTTGCTCGCCTTTCAGTTTGTATTAGTAAATCGAAACTCTAATTCCAAAGAAGCATTTTAAAATATCGCAAATGAAATGGAATAATAAATATAACTTTAAAGCAAAACAATTTCCGAAGTTGTAACTTTTGCAATGCCTCCTAAGATTGAGCGGAAATTCTTTCGACGATGACAGAGTAAACGCTGCAGAACGGTAGGACTAACCTTAGGCAAACTAGTAATTTTCACGAAATTAGCTACTTTTAACTTCAAACCCGAAAAAAGAAGAGCAGCAGCGCAGAAAATAGGAGCAGACTACAGCTGATACAGCAGAGTCCGTTCCTCACGGCTAAACGAATTCTGTTTCATGCTTCACTCGATCTGCAACTAACCGTAGTACTCTCCAGTTTTCATGTCATAGTATGTGGCCATTTTGAAAGCAAGCATTTCTCTATGTAGCTACTTTGAAAAGGAGGTGTTGATCACAACCACACTTGAATGCACCATTGGGAAAATATAACAGAACATAATTTGACAAATCCAACAAATCTTAAACTTGCTAAACTGGTGACCGAACAGGACCCTTGAATGGAAATGAGTAAGAAGAATAAAAGAGGCACAACTTTTGGGTTTGTTTGAGTTTGACACCTTGATTTGAGTGAAGGGCCCAACGGGTTGAGAGCATATCCATGGTTGGAAAATTTGCATCCACCATCATCCTTTCACTTAAGCTACATCGCATTGCCGCATATGTAGTTATCTTGGCCACAAAACACTCCTCCACCTCATGCAGAAATTGCAGATGTTAACGCAAATCTTTTATTTCTAAACACATTTTGGAATTGAGCGGCAAGTAATTAAGAGGTTCCTTTACTTTAGACCTCCAGAAACTCAAGCTGCTCTGTTTGAATGGATGAGAAGGGCAAACTATGCTGGAGCATTTATTGAGCCGTGTATACAAACAGGGAGGCATAGCAATGTCAAATTCAAGTTTCGGAAAAACGTAAATTATTAGCGCTTTCCGATGAGTCCAAGAAAGATTGGCATTTTCGGTTTGAACCGCTTCTGGGCGGCTCGCAGATAACGCAGACCGCTGAGGTAAGTCGGCACTTCGTCCTCCGGAATGTAAAAGGTCGGCTTATCGAGACGCCGCTTGGGCCACTTCACCAGCTGAGGACTCTCTATTATGTCCAAATCCTCATCGGTCAATGTCATGGCCTGTGGTACGCTTTGGTCCACTCGAAATGACCAAGAATTCACAGCGAGACAACTCAACAACAACAAAGTAGCGAACATCTAAAGTTTTATATCGCAAAATTTTCAAACCCATATTTTAACCCAACTGCTATAACAAAAAGGTGGTTGAATAACTAACAGATGCAACAAAGGGACAAGAGGGCAATGAAAACAGTAAGGAAACACAAGGGAGGTGCAGCTTTGTGGAAAAAGAAGCTTGTTTACCCACTCACTAACCTTTTACGAAAATTTGCATTTATGCAGTCAGGAAGGAGCTTTTATAGAAATACACCACAAGAGACTTTTTCCCATTGGCTGGTAAACTATCCAATGCTATCAGTAAACGTTTTCGGACATAAATTTCCTCTACTACATGAACATAGCAATGGTTGTGGTCGAACAATAAAATTCCACGCAGAGCTGATACATACACTGAAGCCCCTGGCACACCGTCTCAAACATAGTGGCAACGTATGTAGGCTGTCATTCCTTACTATTTTGAATATATCAGCATTCTACTGATGGTTAATGACTGACCACAACAACGGAGGTAGTTATTAGCCGAGGTTACTTTTCAATGCGCCCTTAAAGCAGTAAGTCCGGCTTATTACTGAGACCTCGCCCATAATGCAATACCGCTTATCCATTTGATTTGAGGTCCAATTTTATTTTAAGATATCAAAAAACGCTCAGGATGGGACCTGAGAGCCTAATGAAATTTTTGTTGTGAAAAAGGTTAGCAGTGATGTCACACCTCCCATAGGATAACCACTCTTAGTGGTCTCAAAGCTTCGAATTAAATCTGAGAACTACCGAATGCCGTAATTACTCTTAGAAACAGACTTACTTCCCATTTGAGGTAAACATGATTCGTGCGACTTGAGCCATCTTCACGAACAGCCGCCTTAATGGACGTGCGGGTCTCACCCCAACAAGACAACGAAGTGTCATTTAGCACTGTATATGTGAATGCTTATCGTGACTATTCAAGTGGTGCATTATTCTAGAAAAGCCTCTGTATCTACAATTTCGATGAGTCGGTGGTGAAATACGCGGAATTCTACAAGACGGATGTATTTATCCAAATTACTTCATCTTTTTAGAGTAGATGGAAATCCCTTTCTCAGAAGTTTATGGATTTGTTAAATGGTAGGACTCAACTCAAATCAGTTCTAACCGTCGAGGCGGTACAATTTTAGAGACACTCTCGTAGCAATCAGGGCAACTTTTGAGAAAATAAGTGAATATGGGCCAGCTTTGAAATGACAATCTTTTTTTTGAGATGACACGACCGATAAAAATTTATATTTAAGTCACATCATAATACTTAGTAAAAAATAATTTGTTGATCCTCTCCAGATAAAGCTTCATAAGGCGGTCAAAACGACTACGTGGTCAGAGATCAAAGGCAGCAATCAAAACCAAATTTTTAAAAGAAAGCAACCATCCTAAATTCTTGTGCACACGGGTGGATGTGGACAGTGTTTTCGTGCATTGAAGGCATTTCTCCCCCGAAGACAGCATCCTACCGTTTTGACATTATTAGGCTTGCCTTGTGGATAGTAGCTTCGTGGGTGTTATAACTTGCAGCGCAGTCCTTCCATCTTTGAATGAAGAAGGCTTTGAACCTCGAATCGGCCGCGGAACAACAGCTCACTATCTGAATGCTTTAGCTTCGGCTAGTATCCCTTCTAATTTTTCTGACCAGAGATGGCCTTAAAACGAAAGATTAGGAGGTTTTTAAGATTGGCTAAAGTTTAGCACTAACACAGTTGTGAAAAAGAGGTTGTAGTCGATTCGCATGAGCTTTCTGATGCACTTTGGCACCTGATAGTTTTTTTTTGAAGAACTGGCATTCCCTAGGACTTTTCGGGTTATTATTCTGTTTCCTATTTTATAGCACTTGTAAATACATTGTAAATTGGCAAATGTAAGCATAGTAGTCATCAAATGATCACAATAAAATGAGGCTGCTTTTGATTCCGTTGATAGCTCAATTGTTGGTGGTTTCATCAATTACTTGTCCAAACGTAACAACGTTAAATAACTTTTATACCTAATTTTAAGACAAAACTCAAATGAACCAAAAGGGGCTTGTGAAAATAAAACACCGAACTTCTGCGGACTTACATGGTTCACTAACCTCTGGAGAATAACGCCAACCCTGATCCTTTCACATACAGCTACCATAGTCTTCTCCAAACGCATGGCAAGACGAAGTATCTACGACCAAGGTAGAGAAAGAGCGGACGGCTATTGTCATGAATCCAAACTCATTCCAATGTGAAAGCCTTTCCTGTAAAGACTAAAGTGCTCGCTTGAGTAAACTGGTCGTTAATTAAAATGGTGGATCATTGCGTATCCGCTAGTGTCATCTCAAATTAGAAGGTGAGCAACTGCCACCTCTTACAGTGAGTTCCGCTTTAATGTAAGGCTGGTCGTAACATTTTCTTGATGGGAGGTTGCGTCTAAAAGTAACTTTTCTTAAATCCTTTTAAAGCTTCAGTTGCACTCAAAAACATTTTAACTGGATTATAAAAGCAGAGCACATGAAGAATAGCTTTTACATGAAAATGAAGCTCATTACTCACGATACTGTGGTGCAAAGACATCTAAACGCCCATTAAGTGTCATCTGATAAATTCATAGGTGTGCTTACAAGTTTTTCAAAGAAGAGGATTCTGTTATGGAGATCATCCACGTTAAATGTTGATGTCAGGGTTTCAGAACAGTTCCACAAGCTACCAAAGGAGAGGACGGAGCCCTTCGTTTTGTAATTCGTGTCAAACACTACTACCTTATGTACTTTTGTTTGTTAAGTAGCACACTAAACGTTTGCAAACGTAAATTTCTCTTCCCGGTTTTTGCTAGTGTTTTTAAGGACTAGCTTTCTTTATTATACAAAGTTTATAAATGCTTTATGACATGGTTATTATTACCTTTGATGAGCTGAACCGGTGAGTGGAAGACCAACTACATGCATTACCGCATGCATCCACAACCCAATGCAATTCAATCCTCCAAGCAAAGCACTGCCATGCGGCTACAGGGGAGTCAGAAGCTACTCCCGAAAAGTGACCATTTTTTACCTCAGATATATAGTGGTGTTTCGTCTTACTGCAAACGACTAATTTACCTATTTAGATTGGGCTTTAAGTCTTAAAGTTTTGCTCACCTGACACGAAGCGCGAATTAGGAGACCCAAATATGCATTTGGGTGAAAAGTATTGCTTTTTGAAAAGGCGTATTTTAATAGAGTTGCATGAAACATTCTGTCGGTGTTTATTGAAGCCAGCATTGACTAATTCCTTACGAAGAGCATTCTGTGTAAATTTCTGACCAAATGGTGAAGTAAATTAGTGTGAGTTAGAAAGATTCGAGGTAACAGTGACCCGTGGCAATGCATACAGTTTGAGAAGTGATACCACACTTTGATGCATCTCATTGAGTCCCCAGTAACGACGACTTTTAACATTGACAAGGCCGACTTTTTCTCCAGAATGAGAATCTTACTCAAAAAAATCTTCCATCAAGTCCCTCTACTTGAGTGCTTGAATTTTTTGAATAATGCGGCAGAAATGAGCTAGTTCGTGTCTGCGCGAGTAAAGGACGTAGGCACCCT